ATCTTCTCATTTATCCTAAAATTATATTTATACCCAACTATAATGTATAGAAATAACCACTATATTGATTAATATTTTAGAAGATGGCTGTCACGTTATTAAGATATAGAGGTATAAAAATCGTGTTAAATTTTGAGTATCCGGTTCTGGTTGAGTTGAAGAGAAAAAGCATTGTTAACTAATAAAGGATAATGAAATAGCATAATAGTATACTCTGTTCATATTCTATTTATATACTAACTTCAGGTGTTTTACATAAAAACTAGTTCGGGAATTTTACGTAAAACATTTGTTTTATACATAACTGAACAACTCTTAAATTTATATCGAATGAAATATAAAAAAAAAACAGATCTATGACTTTTTCATAAACTGTAAACCGTATTTACTCGAAGTTTGCCATTTTCCATACTCAATGCCTTCGTCGTTTAGGGTTTCACATAATTTATTTTTATTTAAAGTTTTTTCTACTGTCGACAAATTCATTTCTACTAAATCGTTCACTCGGATTTCTTTCAATAAGTTTGGCAGTATGTCCGTAACTAGTCGGTTATGCAATTTTGTCAAATCGTTAGTGTCTTCTTTCCTGTCTATCTGCAAAGTGTTAACTATGTCTCGACACCACTGTTTTTTCATGGCCTCCATTTTTTCAAAAGCGCTTTCAATTTTTACACGTTCTGCCAACTGTTTTTGCTCCATGTCATCCGCCGCACTCGTTCTGTTAGTTTTTTTCGCCAACTCGTCCTCGAGCGCTATATCACCTTTATAAGGATTGCCGACTTTAGCCACGATAGTACGCACGTACGGTTTGTAGTAGAGATTGTTCGGGCTTTTATCGTTTAACAATTCTGGCGGTACGTTTAGCTCTATCACGCGTACACCGTTGCCCGAAAAATATTCCTTGGCCCTACTCAAATCGTCCAGGCTATGACTTTTTCGATCACCGGGGCCATTGAGTTTTTTATTGGCGTCCCGTCCGGTTTTGCCTTTGCCCGGTCGCCTGTTGAATTGTTCAGAGTTTCCGGTCTGATCGTCATCATCGTTGCTGTTGTATTCCACCGAATCGTCGTCGCACCGTAAATAAGCACCGTCGTCGTCGTCTTTGTCGTTTTTTTGCATGGCCTTGGCGTTTTTGCCACCGGATAAGATCACCACTACGTCCGGATGACCCACTCTTGTGTCGTTGAAAATAGTTTTCGCCTGGTCCACGTTGAACGGTAGACCGCCGAGAACGTAACCCCGATGGCGACAGGCAAACGACGCCAAAGACTTTCGGAGCAACGGTATCAGATAATGGTCTTTCAACTGTCCTCCGTTGTCGTTCATGTTGGCTTCGTAGTCGGCGTACTTTTCGTTGAGATCTCGCATCTCGACCTTGATCGATTCGATTTGGTCGTCGAAATCGAACACTATGTTCTTGGGGCCGTCCGACAAGGTCCGCACGTACATGCTGTATTCCAAATTGGCGAGTATAGCGCTGTTTTCTGACATGGCCGCAGATCCTTCGGGTTCGGTTAGATAATTGCTAGAGAACCGCGAATACGACTTGGAGTTCTCGTCCGCCGTCATTTGTCCTATTTCTCCTCCTTCTGCCCCGTTGATTTCGCTCGGTTGACTCACGTGTGTCCCGTAAATGCGGTCTAGCCATTCGTTTTCCGGCATACCCGACGCTTTAGCCGAGGCGCTGATGAAGTTCAGTCGGTTTTCGCAAACTTCGTTCATCCGGGACGTTAGCGCCTCTTGATCTTGTTCCTTGATCGCGTTTAGATAGTTAACAAACGACGGCCCGGCAGCCATCAGACGCACGCCGTAATGCTGAGCTATTCGCGCGGCCAAGTTGACGACCGCGTGCTGAGGTGTTCCGAAGACGGCCACCTTGAAAGGGTGCAACCCGTTAGCTTGGATGAACTCCTCGACTACTATTTTCGGGTCGGCTACGATCGGACTCTTTCGGCCCTGGAACCCGGGCACCGTGACGTCCAGCATGGGGTCGATGATCAGATCGGCGCACAGTAGGTCGTAAGTGAGATCGGTCAACTTGTATTGATCCACGATCGACCGTTGGTCGTTGGTCGGCACCAGCACGGAGCCGCACATATGGTTCCGAATAGCCTGCACAATGGTGTTGAAACCGTACGATTGCTGTTCGGTGGCTAAGATATACCGGTCTCTTATCTTACCATGATCGGCCGACACCACCGACACTAACTCGGCCAAGTCGTCCACGTGAAACACGGGCACGATCTTGTTCTCGGCCAGCGTGTACATTTTCTTAGGGTCGTTCCACGCGGAGCCGAACACGTGGCGCAAGGCGTTCTCCTCGTGGCCGTATATCAGCCCGGTGCCCAGCACGTAACCCTTGAGTATTGCTTTGACCCTGGACGAATTGGACTTCATGATGATCTTTTCCAGCTCGTGAAGCGCTTGGTACTTGGCCATCGGCAGCTGTTTTAGCACGTTGCCGGGCGTTATATTGTTGATCGTTTCGCCGTCCTCGCCCAACACCGTTTCGCTCTTTTCGTTATCTTCTTTCGCCCAAATCGCCACGGACGATATCAGTATAAATACTCTGACGATTCCTCTTTCCATACAATGCTCTATTTCTGTGTCGTTAAGCCTAATCAATTTGTCGTATAAGTGATCAAATGCGGTCCTCGCTTGTTCGATTTCGGCTACATGGTCGTTTGTAATGTCGAACACAATAGTGCCGCACAACATTAAATTGGCGGCAATGTCATTTTCGTCCAGCATCGAACATCCGTCTAAGTGTTGTTGCAATTTGGCCGACGGCCTATCCCTAACGACCGTCATTATCTCAAACGCATTACCCGTATTCCCGTGTTCCTTGAAATTTGTTTTGATTTTAGGTCTCATTAGTGGCCTCGAATGAGGTTCGAAAAAACCGAAATACTTATCGCACATTTGTCTCAGGTATTTCATTTTACTACCGTTAGTGGGTTGATCTAAAAAAACGTTATATTGCTTTTTACTTAACAGTCCTATAACGCTTGCAAACATAGTGTTTTCTGCCAGTGTAGTCTTTTTTCGTGTTTCCGATATATTCTTATTATTACTATATTTCGATTTTGTCGCGTTCTGTTTGTTCACGTTCAAAGTTTTCTTCGTGTATTTAAGTATAATATATTTACTGTTGAACGCATTACCGTTGTTTACGAATATCCGACTTTTCGAAAACACACGATGTTTTTCGTTTTGTCGCTTGGCGTAAGCATGACTTCCACAATAGTCGATAATGGTCGGAAAGCTTACCACAGTCGTATCTTCCCTATTCTTCAAGTCATCGTCCATATTTTATTGGATATGATAAAATAAAAATTAAGAAAAAATCCAAAAACTAACAATACAAAAGTATAATATTGTGTTTTCGGCCCGCAACAAAATACTCTAAACAAATTCATTTCTATAGTTATGAACGTTGGTATAATATGATTATTCAGTATTGTCATTTATTTTACAATCGCTCGAATGTCGATAATATTTCAGCACATTAAAACTCGTTAAAAGTGAATCGTATAACCACCGATGATGTGCCTCGAACGGGGTTACTGTGGATTTATTCGGCCCTGGTGATTTTAAACACATATCCTATGGGTCCTATGCATTGAATTAACTAACTGGTTAGTGTTTGAAGTATCACAAAGCAAAATTCTCTCCTCACTTTTTCACAACACACAGTCCGCAGTGAAGTCGACCGTGTGCAAAGATAATTCGATAACGTTTATATTTTGATCGCCCCTACAGTGCGATTTTAGTATTCTTTGTGCGTACTAGGTCGTCTTTGATCATAAACACAAGTGTGAACTTTGAAAGAGTAAACATGTTCCGTAAAGGGTTACGTTATAAATTAAACTTAAAACGGGTATTTCAAGGGGATTTTTCAATGAGAAAATTTAATAATGTTCCGCAAACATCGTTATACGTTATTATATTATAAAGAGGTCTTTTAATACACAGTTTTCAATTAAATACCTTTAACGTACAAAATAAGTTTGAACTCATTTCGATAATAATTGAGTTTATGAAGTATATATTTTAATGCCAACTATGTACTCGAAATATCGCTTTCCTCTAGAAATACACGCCACGACTGAAATTAATAAAATATAAAATATTATAACCTCATTGTTAGTGTTTTCTACTTAATGTTATATATTTTTAATTATCTTTATGTATACGTTAACAATATGATTAATAGAATAATAAACACAATTTAAATGAACCGAATATGTCCCATATATATGTATTTTTCTCTCGGGATACCTAAAAAGTGTTTTACGTTATTTGGATTTACACTTGTAATTATTTCAGATTACAAGTATTTAAGTAGTTACCAAACGATAATAACGTTTGGTGTTTTTTCTAAACAAAATGATCAATTACCCAATTAAACGGTTTCTTAGTACATTATGCAAATCAATTTTTAATTCAACCCTACTGATTTTACTATTAGTAACAGTTGAAACACGTGTTTCGCGTTCTGGTACACTCAATAACACATACCTACCATTTCACGCAGTGTATAAAACTGATAAGTTATTAATGTAAACTTCAAAGTTTATTTAAAATAAAATACAAGCTGCAAAGGTGTTCAGTCCTAAACTATCTTAGTTAAATAGAATAAAAACTACTGTTATAAAAAAAAAACATTTATATGCGTACACGTTCATAATGTTTATTTAATTCAATAATTTTATAACTTAACTTAAAAACCAAAATCCGAATTTCTGAAATCTGAATGTTTCCATTAAAAAATAAAACAAGTATTTTAGAGTTCTTTAGACATTTTGCATTTAATAGTACGTAATTATGTTATATTATACATTTTTCTTAATAAATTGTTAACACATTTTAACGGTATGGATAAAAATAAAGAACTAACAATTGTTAAAAAATTGTATAATACGATTTTTTAAAAATAATTGTATACAAATTTTATATTTCATAGCCGCATTTATCTCATTTATGACAAATTTCCAAATAACAACACATTAGATCTACCGTAAAAATCTCATACGCCGTCTAAAACGTCGAGGGCTTGGTTTGTCATACGACAACGCTATTTTGCGGATGACTTTAAAATCGACATTTTCAAACGCTTTTTTCATTTGTGCAATGTAACTTTTGGCGCATCCGATACTATTAGTCTGTATCGAGTTCTGGGGCCCGAGGTTAGACATGTCGTCTGAAGAATCACAGCCGTGACAAGTGGTTATGAACTCGTTGCCGTCGAGTACCATCGGACCGTCGGCCTCGCAACCGAGCGAGGTCGACAAATCGGTAAGATCCGATAGTATTTCATTGCGTATTCGTTCGTTGAGAAATTCGTCGTTCACGACCATCGGGTCGTTGGCGAAGAACACCAACAGGTATGCGAACATTTCGTCTTCTAACAATTCAAAGAACGTTAGGAAATCCAACAACATATTCGACCACTCTTTGATGTATCGCATTCTCGTGTGTTTCAGGTCGTTCAAGTACAAAATGTGTTTCAACGTGAGCCGCAGCCACACGGCTTTGACGAAATCCAGGCACATGGTATGGTATTCGGTTAAACTCTTGAGATTGTCGCAGGACCAGTGCAAGCAACGCGATTTGCCCAAGGCACTCGCCAACGTCTCGGGGAAATCTTTCAAATCGATCTGAACATTGTACGCGGTCACAATGTAATCCACACGCGTTGTCCGTCCGAAATCGTTGAAATACAAACTTTGCAGTGACAAAAATTCGATGCTCTTGGACGGCACCGATGCTGTTTTCTCGTTGCAGTCCATCAGATCGTCGATCATGCTGATATTGATCTTGACGCGCGCTATTAATGCGTCCTCGTGGGAGTCTGACGTCTGTGCCGGCTTATTGAAATTATGATTTTTGAACGGCAGTCTTAGTTCGAATTCGTTGTTCGACTGACAGAACCAACCCACGTACCATTTTATTGCTTTCAAATGGGTTTCGTGTATTTTCGTCAGTCTGTTCTTGCCTTCGGCCGGGTCCAAAGCGTCGGAACAGCAAACGCTATTCGAGTACAAGCCTAGCAACTGAGTGTACAAATAAAGCTGCCACACTTTTTTCATTCCATAGACGTCCAGGTCTACTAACGTGGCCACCTACAACACAGTAAAGCGTTAAACGTTATCAGATGCAGAGAATTATAGTTCTATCTGCCTAATTATTATTATTAAACCCCGGTTTTTTGTTTGTCAATAATAATTAAAGACCTTAACCTACCGAATTACAGGCACACTCTAATTACCTGTTTCTGAGCGGTCGGACCGTACGACGTTAGTACTTCAATCACAGTTTTTAGTTCCATGGAACTTGCTAACATCGACTGGACGAGACGCATGTGCCATAAGCTGCTGATCAGATAAGTGCATTCCAATTCGTTATACCGACGCTGGCGGGTGTTGTAAACCAAATTTGCGTTGTACTCCGTTATTTCTTGGGGTGCAGGGTCGTTTGAATAGCCGGTATCGATCTTCAGTAGATTTTTATATTCGTATTCAAAATTATTCCTATACAGCAGAACACTCAAAGTGTTTGCGGCAAACACTGAAGTTAACAGTGCTGTATAGCAAACAATGATCGCCAACATTTGCCCATCCTGAGTCGCATTGCACGCCATCTGCAAAGTGTTAGGTAGTATTTTGCTTACTTATAAAACTATGCACATTCAAAAGTCGAATATCCTGCTGCACCGACCGATCGGGATAAACACTTTTACGTAACACAACAATAATGTAAGAATATTCATGCAAAGCAATACAAAAAAAAAATTTATATATACGTGTTTACTAGCAGCTGTATATACCAGCAAATTTGTTATAATAAAAGAATGGTTCAAGTGCATTTGTAACAAAATAGGTCAATTGTATACAGTATGTTTCGGGTTTGATTGGTTTTCTAGAAAATTGTGTTCGAACTAAACGACAGCATTTTAAGTTCATAAATTTATTAGTATGAAGTATGTTTGCGAAAGCGCTTTTGAAATTTTCTAATTATAATTTGACCATATCTAATTGTAAGTAATTTGTTTTTTTATTAACCCATGTTAGCGTGTATAAGTAACATTGTCCTGACATTTTTTTTAACACCATGTACACTAGATTCCCAATATTTTTTTTGGATAAAACATGATTTAAATGAAATTTATAGGACCAGTCTTATGTATGGTTTGTATACATTTTTTTAACCAATAGTTGTTATTCAAAATAATTCCGTGATAAATAGTTATAGTTATACCTATTGAAATATCTAGGGTCAATAGTGACAAGTTTGCCTATAAGTACTGTTTAATTATATAGTATACTTGTTCATCACATCCACGTACACAAATTATACTTCAAGAATATCTAATTACCTACAAATTTCCCAACGTAATGGGTTTTATTATTTTTTTTTTATTTTTCCTTGTCAAATTAAAAATTTGATTCAACCATAAACAGTTTAAAAGAATTTTCACTATTTAAAAAATAGAATTAACTGTGGTGCTATAGGTGTTAATATAGGTGCTTAGCTATACAGTAATCATTTTTTTAAGTTCTAATATTTCTACTTATAACTTTAAGAAAAATGATAAAATTGAATTAAAGAAAAAAAAAATCTTCGAGAATTACTTGAATCTATCCCCTAGGTCAGAAAATCAATATTTTGCATGATATATCGCTTTGCTGAGTACAATTTCAACATGTGCGTAGAGATGGAACAATGATCATTTGTATATTACGAGAAAACCGAAGACGTACAAAAGGCCATCAATAATTCTAAGAAAGAAAAAGGTCACAGAGGCAAACTCTTTATTGAATTGCCTTGGCGATATTTGATAAATGTGTATGCAATGTAAAATCCGGTTCCAGCTATGACAGGTAAAAAATGTCGAGTAATTTGGTTAGTAAAAATGATTGAGATAATCCCCGGAGTACCGTTGGCAATGCTGACTGTAAAAATGTAAAAACAACGTACAATTTATATCTGCGCATGTCTAATGGATCCATTTATCACCCTCGATCAACTTCAATCTTTAGCGGTGATATCACGAGGTTACCATACATGTATAAGTTAGATTACGCCCTCGCGGAGAATAATAATATACTAGTCGGAATCGCGAACGCTTCCACTCGTTTGTATTGAATTGCAATTCGGTTTTTTTGTTTAAAATTAGTATCCTATATTTTGTCTGTTGTCAGTTATAGGTGTATTATCCGTTGTGTAGTCATCAGAAATTGTTTTTTATTGGAATGGATTTTGCGGTACGTTATTTGTCGTGGTTTTTTTAATGATTGCGAATTTTTGCTTTTTATACGTTCTAACTTTTGTACTGCGTGAATACAATATAATATTTGACATGTATGACGTCAATTATCTTATATTTATTATTGACTTAACTTGTTCGGCTCCACGTTGAAACTACGTGTACAACAAGTATAGTCAAGGCAAACGGTGAAGCTATCTGTGGGGGCAACTCGTAGAAATAATATACCGTACCTCATGAATGATGAGCGGCAGACCAGATTCATCTCTTGGGAAATCAAAATTGACTTATCAGTTTCTTTGGTTCTGTTTTGTTTTACACGTCTTTGTTGTTGTTTTCTTATCTTGGTCACGCTTATACGGAAAATAACAACAAATTATATTTACACAAACGCTGTATTTAGGATAGTGTTTAATATTATTATGTTTATTGATTTAAAAATGTATCGTTAACAAACCAGAATAAATGATACATAAACAAAAAATAAAATTGAATTATCTTACTAAAATTGAAAATAATTGAATGCTATATCTCACCTAACCTTAAACATATTGATAAAATATAATATGATGTTTTGCTGTGTATTGTTTTACAAGCATATCAGAAGTTCTACAAAGTATTCTTTCCCAGAGTACTTACACTCAATCACATTACATATATTACAAATCCACAAGTTTCTGTGTGATTATTATCGATTCATCTTTGACGTTTTCATACTTCTTTTAAAACTAAATATACATTACACTCTTTATATTAGTAAGTCGGTCGGCCGCATCGAATGACTCTAATGGAATGTACTGCATTAAATGTAACGACATTCAAAATTATGGTGGTGGGTGTACTGTGGTATAGATAAAATAAATATTTTAGTTCGACAGACGGACACGTCGACAGGTCTGAAAACACAATAAGGATTTAGGAACGTTTTCGATTAATAAATAATATATGCAAAAAACGGTAGATTCCATACAGACTGCAATATAACCACATAATATAATAACCTTACTACTATTAGACATTAACCATATGGAATACAGAATTGTGCATTATTTGAATTAAACGTTAGCTAAATAATCATCTAGATAATGCATTAATCAAGTTTAAACACACTATTTCGGATATCTTTAAATCGTATTATTAAAATCATTTCCAAGTGCGGTTTTACTTATACTAAAAAATAAACACACAAAATTATATGCTAATAGAAAAACGTCGCTGTGTAATTAGGAAGTTCTTAATGCTCCAAACCGTGTATTCTATTAGTTTTGACATCATGGCAAGTAGATCCGAATCAAAATTTGATATCTGAAAAAATATTTGCAAAGTGAAATGATGGATAATTTTTTTTCCTTCAAGAACTGTTTTTAACGCGTATGCGGAGTCACGAGTATCATTTCAATTTTCGAAAAACATAATATTTAAAAAATACAACTGTTCCATTTGACCGAGGCTTGAGCAAAACAAAAGCTCTTTGCTTGTTTCCCGAATAAAACATTCAGGAGGTATATTTTCCCTGTGAATAACTCTGCGGTGGCCTCGTGTTTTGTTTTCTTCCACAGAGTATAATATTTTATTCTGCGCCCCGTATAACATGATATGTAGTATGTACTACCGTGTAAATCGTAACTTTTGCGCATTCACTTAAGAGTGAAAAAAGCGCGGTCTAACAATAAAAAAAAAGCTCTGGTCGGTTCGGGTCGTAATGGAAGATGGGATACACGTACAACTCGGGGCTTTTAAATATGTATATGATAACGAATGGGGACCTAACCGAGAAACGCATGAGAAACACCCCACACCTTCCTAACATAATATACCTACGTGGGAAAAGTATTTAAGAGTGTTTTTTTTTGTATTAAACGCCAACATTGCCATTACCTGACATTTGTTATACCATGAATATTTAATTTGTATTAACGATAACATTTTTAACTTCGACGTGTAGCGGTATTTTTTTTTGTATTTGTAACAGACACGATGATTTTTTTTTTCTATAAAACATTAAAAAATAAGCGAGCGTAAAAACTAAAAATAACGTTGCGTTTTTTATTCTTAACAACGCTAATAATTATTTAAATTTGATTCGCTTATGTACTCACATGTATTGTTTTCAAGAGTGTGTTTGTATAACCGATTAAAGTTGAAACATAAAACAATAATATATTATGTCCCATAAACAATGCCTTAACGACAACTGTACGTACACATTTAAAAATTAAAAAACAAATTTGTATAGTATTTATTTTTTAACAAAATATCGAAATAGTATTAATTTATTAAAGTGTTCGTTGAAAATATTACGGACAGTGACGAAATCCAGCAATGTCAGTAAACAACAAAGATAATAGCCGACGCGGTAACATTTATAATGATAAAGTCCTTGTGGGGAATTGGTACGAAGAAAGACTCGATGGCTATATGCCACTCCAAGACGGCAATAAGGATTCGGAATATCAAAGGGAATACCGTGCTCGAGTTTTGCCAAAAAAGGATGAAAGCACTTTGTGGAAAACCCGGATCAGAGCATTGGTACATAATAATATTTTCAAGTTTATTTATATAGGCATATTTTCCTTGCCTTGATATTATCTTATTATTTTTTAAAGTGGATGATTTGTAACTTACTTATATAATATTTTATTTGGTGGTAAACTTCAAGGTGGGTTTTTTTATAGCCGAAAATGTCAGTTCATTGAGCTTTAAGATGGTAATACTGTATTTACACTTGTTATTTATAAATACTTTGAATAGAATCTAAAAAAATGCAAGCGAATTGTGTATTTAGAATTTTATATAAAAAGAATACTCCGTTTTTCAAAATATTTACTTTAGAGGCGAAGATCTAAAAGCTTTATTGAAGTATTCAAAATTGATTTGTTTAGTTTTTATAATCATGTAATTTGTTTTGGTGAAAAAAAACAATGTTAATTGCTTTGGTCGATTTTTGAATAGAAAACTTATACAGGGTAACCACAATTTTAATTAACATAACATTATTTCTATGATGTAATTATTTAGGTTAACAAGTTTCGAATGAAATCATTATTATATAAAAAGCATCAAAATTAGTTTTGAATATTTAACTTAAAAATATTATTTTTAAGGGTAGTTTTAGAAGGTAATTTTCTAAAACGTGATTAATATAACCTACATATTTGGTTTATCGGTATTACAGTCGGGGGAATTATGCAAATTGATGACTGGTCATTTGAATTATTCATAGATACAACTATAGGTTACTGTAATATGATTTATACCAGCATCCGCATGACTACTCATCTATTTCAAACCGGTTATCGACTAGTTGCTGTTTTACTTAGACTATTCCACAATATTAATAAGCGAATCAAATAAATTATGTAGGTTAATTCTATAAATTACCCTTTAAAGTAGTAGTTTTAACATTAAGAACTAATTTTTATGGTTTTATGTGAAGTAAACATTTTGCTTCAACACATTTTTTTAGCTAAAACAATACACTCTTGATTAGTGAGTTTAATAACAAAAAAAAATGGGTTCCAGGGGTTGCCGATTATGTTAATTCGAGAACACGGGATCCGAGGCGGTTACCGCAACAACCTGTCGTCGCTTTACGACTTGAACTGCGCCATTGCTTATCACGAAAGACCGGAAAGACGTTTCAACACCGTGGCCAACACTTTTGTGCCGGAACAAGACTTCACCGCCGACCACGGACCGGGCCGGAACGATTTGATAGGCCGCAAGTTGGCTGCTTGGGCCGAGGACAAGCGCATTACCGACGGTGTCGATCCTGCCACCGAATATCAATGCTGTTTCACCAGTCAAAACGGCTAATCCTTTGCGTGCGTGTGTTTGTTTTGTAGAAACGGCACGATCTTCAATAAATCCACCACAGTCCCGGTTTATTAACGTTATAAAATACATATTAACCGGAAACCGTATGCCTATACCACCTACCTTCTCTACGGTGGCATCGTTGCACAGTAAATGACGTTATTGTTATAGTATAATAACAGTGATGGTACGCTAATTCGAAACGGGTAGGTAAACTCGACCGTTATCGCACGCAACAACAATCTAAAATTATTTTACTAAACCGCTGATACCTGGTTTGAATTATTAAAAATCTCAAAAAAATATATATATATATAATTACATACTGGCTGATCAACATTATGTTTACAATTATTCTGCGAAACAATTATTTTAACTAAAAAAAAAAGTTTAAAATTAACGCTCAATTACTAATATAAATTTATCAAAAACAATTTTCAGTTTTAAAGTGTAATTTTTAAAAGCCAAATAGCAAATGTATAAAATGTAGAATGATTCAATAAACATAATGACTGATTGATAAGCAGTTTTGAAAAATTACTTAATGAATAATTATATCATTGAGTTATTGGAGAGACGAGAGTTATTTTTACTCGCTTGCACTTCATTCCTTATGAATAGTTTTTAATGTGAATCACCTTGTTTAAATAACGAATAAAACCTACAACGAATTTATCATATTTTATTTATTTAAAAAAAAAATATAACATAAACCGTAAAAAAAGTCTACCTGTGTGTTTTAAGTCTTTTACACTCTACAAAAAGTGACATGCATTATTTTAAAATATTTAACAAGAATAACGCAATTGAAAGCTTAACGATGCGTTAAGAAAAAGTACACGTGACCAAGTACTGAAACGAAGCTTCGTTTTGAGTAGAAATGTGATTTACATAAGGAAATTTGACAGTGAACATCGTTATACACCGATGTTATCTACATGTATGTAACCGTTTTGTACACACCTATTGTTATTGGTATTGGTATTTTTTTATTGTTATACTCGAGTGTGTTGGAGAACTTGTTATTTTTGTCTTATAATATATATTTAATATGTCTCTCTCTTTTCATAAATATACAGCACATATTATTGAAAAATTCAAATTTTACTGTTAAATAAGTATATATAAATAGATATATTAACTGTTTTAATATGGGTATAATAAAATAATTAGTGAACATGTACCAAAATACAAAACTAAATACAATTCTTAAAATTACAAAATGATAAATGTTTTTAAAATTATTTTAAAATGTGTGGCAGCTGTATTCCACGTAAGTATATTACAACACAGTGCAATCTTAATTAACATTAAATCATTTTTGGATTAGTTTTAACTAATAGATGCACTAATATAAATATGGATCAACGGTTTAATATGGCGTTCGTCTTGGTATTTTAATTTGAAACAATTTAATATAGTGTCAATTTCTGTTTTTAAATGTATTACTTTATAACAAGTTCTCAATAAAAATAAATCAATACTATATAATATTTTTTAAATAACACCACTAGTGAACAAATAAATAAATAGATCATTTTTTAACAACTTAATTACTGGAAATAATGTTGCAATTAATTATTTAAACATTGGTTTTTAAATTTTTAACGTAATCACACTCATGTTGTATCTAATGGACAAACATTTACCTAAACTATAATGGAATATTGGGTATAACAATAAAAAAACTATTACCAACTAGTTTCCTTATACAGATGACTTGAGATTACTGAGGAATCCAATACAGATTACTTACTCTGTACACAACTTAGTAGGTAATTCTTTATTCGGTTTTACTGGACCGAGAAGGGAAGTGGCACCAAATTTGCCGGTTCGCCCAAGTAACCAGTCTTTTAAGTTTGTCCGGAGCGTCCACAGGTGTCGTTGGTTTTGGTTTTCTTCGAAATCATTTGCTGCAACGGTCATGTGGTCGGCCGCCGTAATCTGCATACAACAATAAGACGCTGCCAATCTTTGCCATACTGACTTTGTAGCGACTCGTTTTTCACTTTCGGTCGTGGAGATGGTACCGTCACCAGTAATCTGCCCGTCGCATCCCTCAAAACTTTCATAGTCATCTTCGCTGTTTGGATCGGTGTCGTCCTCGGTTGTGTGGTTTGTGTTATTTCGACCTGTGCCTTTCATTGCACCGCTGTAGTCCCGATAGGAATTCTCACACTCACACCCTTCGTTTTCGGGCAAAATCCTTCTGTCCGGAGCACCGCCTCCCAGAGGCATAAAGTATTCTTCGAGAAACGGTCGCCGGGTTTCCCAAGAGTAGAGATCTGGTCCACCTTGAGCGGTCGGATCTCGGAAGTACCAGTAAACGCCGTACGCCGAACTGACGGGTATGAACGGTCGGTTGCCTTGGCCCCAATGCGGCTTGCGCCCTACGTTCACCACGCACCGATTCCTGTTGACTCCGGAGCTTTTCATGCTACTCTGACACGGGGCCAAGGGCTCTCCGTCGAGACCGCAGCCGTTCCGGAGGGCGGATACTGAAATCTTGAAGGCGTCGGGGTGCCGGCCATACGTGAAGTACAAGTGCCGTCGCCATTTCGGAGCGCCAGACCTGTCAAAATCGTCCAACAGCGCGAGGTGCAGCGATTTCTCTCCGCCGCCGTCGAGTTCGTCGATTTTGTCGTCGCAGTTGTCGTAGATCTGACTTTGGCATTTCGAGATGGAAGTCGCACTCGGCAAAGTGACCCGAACCCCTTGGTTGTCGTTAATCCACCAAACGATTACGGCACCCCAACCTTCCTTCGCCACCCCCGCATCGCCCACATAAACCGCAATGGGTTTCCATCCCTTATTCAAAATCCCATCGGCTCTGTCGCTGTCTTTACAGCTTTTGGCGAGCGAGATCCGGTAATCGTCTTCGTCTTCGTCGTCTAGTGTATTATTCGCCGATTTACAATCGTCATCGTCGACAAATTGTTCGGCACAACGACCGCCACTACCGTCGTCATAGTCGACTACAATAGTGCGCAACGATAACACGCTTCTCTTGTGGGTACATCCAGACACCTTCTGATCGGAATCGATCAGAGCACCGAGTAATATTTTATGCACCACCTGTGAATACCAAATACTTATCAACTGTTATTTTGAAAGTACACAGTATAGTACAGGAAAACTTCTATTATTACACAATTATTTAGGACGCTGCTCTGCGCAATTGGACAAGTGGACTTTGGATTCCCACAGCATAAATAATAAAAGTGTGTTTCCCACATGCACGCTACAAATTCCCTGACACTGCAGCGCGGGCTACTTAAGCACTGCGAGTATATTAGTTTTCAGACTTACGTGTCCCGTGTTGACGTCAATACCGAAAACACGAGGTTCGGAGTATATCTTGAGGTCGGTCGTCGTCGTGTCAACCGCACCGATGTCTAACACCCACAGTGTGCTGTCCGGTCCCAGCTGCAAGTCTACTACGTTGACAAGGCCCATAGAGTCGCAAGCTTGATGGAAAAAGTCATCGGGGAACTGACGGTGCGACTCCAACGACGGGTAAGGGTGCACCGGGCTAAACCCATGGTTGTCACAGCCGTCGGGTGTTTTCCCGGTTTTTATCACCTCGTCCAGGCTGCATTTGGTCAGTGGTACGTAACCCAATGTAAACGGTACACCAGGCCTGCGTCATGGTTGGTTTTTCTCATAACAGGTATTAAAAAAACAAACCGGGCGGGGTAACACTCACTTGTAACGCGGCGATACGACAAATGCTCTGTCGCCAGCCATTTGCATTTTAGTGTACACCACGTTTTCGGGTAAGAAGTGGATGAACGACGACTTGACCAAGTCATCCTTGACGTCCATTTTTCTGTTATACCTATGATAAGGCCACATCATGTAATGACCGTTGAGCAGCTGCGAAGTAAAGACGTGCCGGCGACGGTAATCGTCATCAGCCGTTTCAACGACATTTGCCCTTTTAACGACTTCGATGATTGGCAACGATATAACGACCACCGTTGTCCAGCATACAGACCACAAGAGCAACATGTCAACATCGGTTGCGCCTATTTTCTCAACTGGACCGCAATGATAATTATGATAACATGTCATATTTAAAACATTATAATGTTAAGATTGTTGTCGTCGGATCAATATGAACGCCGTCGAATAGTGCAAAATATCTATAGCAACTAATCGTTTATAGATAATTTAAATAAAATATTAACTTCCAAAATGTGTAACTTAGATGACATCTAAATGCGACCGTGGCCGTTCTCATCCCAAATTGTATAAAATAATTAGTAAGAGCAGTATAATGAATACCACTGAAAACAAATAAACGCAAAATGTGGCTGGAACTGCATTAAATTTAAATAAGATATATTTTACTAAAAAAATAATAAAACATAAAGTAAAGTAAAAACCCCCTTTTAAACTAACAATTAAAAAAAAGATAAACATTTTTCCATTGCTAAGGATTTATGAAATTATTAATTAATTAATCCTGTAAGACAACTTCTACCTAGACTCGCTGAAATGAAATATTGTTAGAGCAAATAAGTTTGTAATAATTTACTTTATGGTTTGTCCAACTACTTACAAACTTATGTGAAACAAGTCGAAAGACACATTTTATAAATTAAATAGTAAAAGAAATTATTGTACCGTATAGTGTTATTGAATTATGTTTCAACGTACTTATATAACCGTGAATAGGAATAAAGATAAAATATATTTATATACATTTAAATTAAAATCACCGACGCAGAACATTGCAGCCTCATCCTTCTGTTTGTTCAGCAGTCCGGAAAATCAGAATTGCATTGTGGGAATTTCTTTGTTTGCTATTAAGATGCGAATAACTATATCAGTATACATTTGATGCTGCATATTCAAATTGTTTTCACAACGTATTATCTATTAGGTTTCTTAATATAGAAATAACTTTAATACAGTCCTTTATTGTATTCAACTTTTAGGTTATCAATGTTATTTAATGTATCCGGTTTTATCAAATCAAAATTTTTAACCTCTTA